AATATAATTAAATCGTCCGCAAACTGTAGGTGTGATAAATTAAAGGAATTTTGATCATTGCCGAACGAAAACCCATGAAACAGACCCAAATCCACTGCTTTTGTAAGCATCTTGTGAAGCAATTCCCCAACAACATTGAACAAAATAGGAGAGAGGCTACATCCTTGCCTTAATCCTTTATCAATAAGAAATTCTTCTGTAGGGGACCCATTGACTAGGACCAATATAGAAGCTGTGGAAATACATTGTGTGGTCCAAGAACACCACCTGTCACCAAAACCCATCTCTTTCAATAATCTTATAACAATCTGCCATTTCACTGTGTCATACGCTCTGCTGAAGTCTACTTTAAAGACAACCCTTTTAAGCCCTTGTTTCCTCCAACTGTCAATTCCTTCATTGGCCACACAAGCACATTCCAACAATTGTCTCCCCGGAATAAATGCAAACTGATTAGGACTGATAATATCTTTGACACAAGAAATAAGTCTCTTTGAAAGCACTTTTGATAGAATTTTATATAGGCTGTCCACAAGACTAATGGGTCTATAGTCTTCTATACTCTCCGGATTACCTTTCTTTGGGATCAAGGTAATAAAAGCGTGGTTAACCCCGTGTACCCACTCCTTCAAAGAAATCTGAAAAAACTCCATAATGCTCTTCAATGATTCCAGTATTCTTATAAAAACCATGGTAAAACACCGGAGGGAGCTTTCACTATGAAGAAGAAATTGCATTCCACCTTCTTGCTCTGTAAATTCCTCCTCCATATTAGCCCTTTGAACTACTGATATTTCATAAAATCAAATCTAGACCCTCAACCTCAAAAGATGCTTTGTGTGTATGCAGTCCTGAAAAACTATCATAAACACTGTTTTTTCTTACTGGATCCGAAATTACCACCCCTTCAATTTTCAAAAGAATGAATGGTATGGACACTATTTCTTTTATAGCAGTAAGGTGAAAAAACCTCGTTTTTTGTCTCGTTTTATCCATCTATTTCTTGAATTCTGCCACCAAATTTTCCTCGATCCTTAACATCTCCACAGCTCATTTTGAATTCAATCAACTGATCCATTCCCCCTTAGACAACATTCACCTTGTGACTTAAATCCAATTCGTTATTTTCACTTCAAGCAGCGAAATAGAGTCTGCCAGCCCTAATGACTGCTACCAGGCCATTTGATCTTCTTCTTTGCATTTTGTAACAACCTGAAAATCTCCCCTCTATTCTCTTCTTCTTCTCATCAAACCAACAACCTTCAACCAAATCATCAAACCCTTTCCTCTAACAGAAAATTAAAAAGCCTAAAGGGTTTGGGGCCCAATTGTGACTAACATCCTCCAACAAAACGGATATGATCTAAAATTGATTTTGGTAAAAGCATTTTGAAATCCTAGGAAAACTGTTCAAAAATCTGCCACAAATTAGAAATCGATCTAGTCTAAACCCATGTTGACAACTCTCTGTTACTGCACCAGGTGAAAGTTCCTCCTGACATAGGCAGATCCATACGGTTAGCTTGTCTGTATAAATGATCTAAGAGTTTCAATAGCATGCCAATTTTGTGATCTCCCTTGCTTTTCTTCCGGAACAAGATACACATGAAATCACCCAATACAAAACTGGCAAATTCGTCAAATTAACATAACTCAGCAGCTCCCAAAGAATTCCTCCTTTTCAGCTTCAATAACAGATCCATAGATATTAATGAAGAAAACTCCTTTTGGCCATTCAAAAAATTCCCCACTAATGCGATAAACTACTATGAACATGCTGGTTAGTGACATTGAAACGTTTTCATTCCACATACTAATCAATCCACCTTAGACCCCTGTGCAGGAGAAACCACCACTCCCTTCAACAAATTTCCTCCAATACCTTATGATCGACGCATGACACTGATCAAGTTTAGATTCTTGAATAAAAATCATAACAGGTTTTAACTTCTTAACTTGTCTTGCCACACTAAAGATTTTTCCCTTCTCCTAAACCTCTAATGTTCCAAGTAAGGATACTAAATTTCTGCATATACCGACTTCAAAACCAAACACCAAATATTCCCTGCGAACCCGCATATCCCCTTCCTTCCTACCTCCAGACCATTTTCAAGACTCACAATTTTATCAATAAAAGCCTTCTTCCTTCCTTGAAAGAGATACCTAACATCTGACACATTCCCATGTGGCCAGCTTCTTCCTCTACCAGCTTCGAAAAATGAGATGAATAAGCAGTAGAAATATTAACCATTTCCAAAGCTTCACTGATTAGAGCTCTTCTCTTCCTTCTTTTATTAAATCGTGACCCTGAAGCAGTGTAAGAAGCTGCTGCCAGACTCTCTGAACGATTATGCAATTAATGGGACGTTCGGTGTCTGAACATCTGTTGAACAATTGATATCCTCTTCCTGTCCATTTCCCCTATATTCTGAAAAACTCTGCTGAAAATATCTGCTTTCAGTTGCCTTCTGTCCTTGATTCAGATTAACCTCTGAACAAAATAATTCTGTTTCGTTATTTGCACCTAACCAAATTCGTCTATTTCTTGACCTTCTATAGACTCTAGCATATCGACCTTTTTCTCTCCTACCACCGGGTGCACTTCTAATTGACAGGCTAGCATAATTTGAATGTCCCATTCTCCAACTTTTAGAGCCCTTCATAAATCCTACATTATTATCCTCCTGCATGAAACTTCCTTTTGCTATCTTACCACGAGCAAAAATTTCCTCACCCTGGCCTTCCTCATTATCCTCTTCTAGAATATTGCAACTATCATCCTCCATTAATTCATAAAGAGACTGGAACTTGTTATGTTTATCCAGTCCATCCCACTTAATTTTAACAGCGGGCCCAGCAGGAATTAGTTTAGAGACTGGTGAAGATGATTCCCCATCAGATTGGGCTTGATATAACTGATCCACTTCCTTTCGCAGCCCAAGCCCCGCATAATCTCTATAGGACTTAGACTCAAATTCAAATTCAAAATTATCTGACAGCCCATTAATGATAGGTTTCGTGTGGGACTTATGTTTCAGAGATTGTTCCCCGCCACCTTCTAACCTCCCTCTTTCTTGACCCTCCTGTAACCACGTGTCCATCTTTGACCCTACTTCCTCTACTGACTTCTCCCACTTGTCTTCTTCCTTCTCTAAGTAAACTCCTTCATCCTCCTTCGAAAAATCATCACTACTCCCATAATCAAAATACTTCTGCAGCTCATCTCTGATTCCAGCTTGGAAATTATTACACTTTGGTCCCGTATTGATTATGACTTTAAAAGATCTTCCATATTACCCTACATAAGTATATTCGGGTATATCAAAAGGACTTGCTACCCTTAACAGTAACCTCGCTGATGAAAGATCATCTCTATTCTTTGTCTCCTCCATGATACTCACAAGCTCTCCCCACATTCCTGCAAGTTTCTCCAGAAAAGGTGCAGACCAACTAAGAAATGGTAGCCCCACCAACTCTACCAAGCAGTACGCCAATGGAACTCCTTCTTCGTTTAACAATGGAGATAACCACTTAAACCAGAGGAACAACTTCTCTCTAATGTTTGACCAAGCCTTTAAGAAATCTTCATTAGAACTGAATATAACGATACAAGCATTCTTAACATAACCCCATCTTACTATTTTGACCTCATAACCCTCCTTCGCCAGGGCCTTTTTCACCATATCAGACTGAAGGGGATATTTCAAAACCCCCGTTAAAGAATTCTTCACCCAGCTTGAATCTTCAGAAGGAATGTGCATTTCCCATACATTCCTTATCCCATTAGCTTTCAAATTTTGTCCTCCCTTAATTCCGCTCTATCATGCTCCGCTCTTTCCTCCACATTCACCACCTCCTTATACGTTCTGCCGTCCCTCGGACTGCTCGGCTTTCCCATTACCACCTGCTGCCTACATTCCTCCCCTCGCACATGCTTATTTCCTTCCACCTGGAACTTTTTGTCATCAGTTGCTCTTCTCCTTTCCTTCTTATACTTTGCAACCCCCACTGAGACTCTCTTCCCATCTATCAGCGTTCCATTGACGTTCTGAATCGCTCTTCTACAACCTTCCTCCATCGCATATTGCACAAAGGCAAACGTTGATGACTTATAGTTTGGTTTCACCATAAAACTTGGAATGTAGACCCTTAAAACACGACCATAAATATCGAAGATCTCTCTTAACTCTCTTCTAGTAACTCTCTTACTAAGATTGTCTACGAAAACAGTCCATTCCTTATCGGAAGATGAACGACCTGTCACAAACTCTCTATTTCTCTCTCTGCCTTTCTCCCTCATGTTTTTTTTTTCTCGTGTTTAGAATTAATGGTTTTTGTCAATCCTATATGATTGAGTGAATCACTTTGCTACCAGGCTAACTTTGTTATGTTCCAGTTTGTTAAATTACATGATAAACGATATTAAAACTTGCCCTTCCATGGCTATTTCACTTGGATAAAAAATCTGTTCAAAACTGATCGTTCCACTTGTTGGCTTATGGCATTTGAATTGGCCCTTTTGTCCCATTTAATTTTAAAATTTCATAATCCTGCTTCAAAGGGCTAGCATAAAGTGTAGGAAACCAAAAAATATGAACTTTCAACAAACACCAATTGATCCATATCATCAAAATCTCCTCAAACTTATGTCCTGTAAAGTTGTCACTCCTCAGAAAAGCCTATAACTCTCAAGTGTTGTTGCTTGATGACTATGCTGGGAACTGATTAGACCTTGAAATATAGTACTATAGTTAAAAATTGGGAATACTCATCTCAATGTAATGTCCTCTGCAGTCCCATAAAAAATAACAGCTTATATTTCGTTGTTCATGCTCTTGTTGACACTGTTGGTTGATATGAACTAGAAATATTTTATAAGCAGTTGATTTTCCTTCCCTTCCTGTCTTTTACAATATATGGACTTTGAGATTGCTAAAAAACTATTCAAACTTAGACAAGTTTCTTTATCTTAGTGTTTATGCATGGTCAATTTCATGCAGATTCATGAAACTAGTAAACCCGCGGATTCTGCTATGGTTCATCTAGAGCTTGGTCTGGTTGATATATTTATTTCCCTTTGTAGGCTTGAGTGGCAGACTGGTCACCAGGAATTGGCCACTGCTTTATTTCAAGCTGAAATTGAGTTTACTTTGTTTTGTCCTTCTCTATTATTGAAAGAACATAGTAAACATAGACTGTTTGAGCACTTCTGGGATAGTGATGGTGCAAGAGTTGGAGAAGAGGGGGCTCTTGGTTGGTCCATATGGTTGGAGAAGGAAGAAGAAAATAGGCAGCGAGTTATGAAAGAAGAGAGTTCAGATAAGAATGATGAGGGTGGTTGGACTGGTTGGTCAGAACCATTATCGAAATGTAAGGAAAAAAGCACAAGTCTTGAAAATGTTGCTCATGATGATGCAATAGCTGAGGATTTCCATGAAAAAGTTGAGAACGAGGATATTGAGCAAGAAGATGATACAGAAGCATTGCTGAAACAGCTAGGCATTGATGTTGATGCTGGGGCCGGTGGTGAGGTTAAAGATACCTTGACTTGGGCTAGGTGGTCAGAAGAAGAGTCCTCAAGAGACTCTGATCAATGGATGCCTGTTCGTGCAAAATCTGGTCTCTCTCTCTCTCTCTATACAATTTTGCATGTGTCTTGTTCTGCTTTGTATGTTTGGATACTGTGGATGATTTTGAGGTTTACACCATATTTTGTTACATCAGTGAAGAGTTAAAATACTTTGTTTTATCTGGGTGAAAAGCTTTATAACATAAGCGTCAATCTAAAAGTATTCAACCATTGATTTGTATTCTCCAGTCTTAACATACTACTGGAGCTCATGTCAATTCTAAAATTTTCTGGAAATATGTTGAGAGCCTCTAAGTTAATACATTTTTGCACACTAGCTTTTATTTGATTGTAATATTTTAGGAAATTCTATTCTATTTTTTTATTCTCTTATCATATAGTTTTTTTTTAATTTGTTTATTCTCATTCTAGTGACCAAGAAACCTCAACTGTCATCCGGATGCCATATTTAGGACTAGGGATGCACTTTTCATTTGGTCTGTTTTGTTATTTGTTCGTAATTAATTTTTCTGGCTTTTAAACAATTTATTTTATTTTATGCAAAATTTAATAAAATGTATGGTATATGTGTATAAAAGCTTTTATTTTGTTGTTGATATACCCCGATAGGACTAATAGCATAACTAATTGCTTTGACCAAATGAAAAATTTCAACATACCATTGAAGAAGATGGAAGAAATAGGTTTTTCTGGTTTGAAGCCAATAATGCAGTTCCTACCCTAAATTTTATTTGCAGCTTTTGATTTTCTTGAAGCTTGAATAATTAGCTTTATAATTGATATAAGGTCTCTTCCTATATGAAATGATTTTTGCACATTATACGGATTAATATTTGTTGCTATTTGTATTGAACATGATGCAGTTCCTACCCTAAATTTTATTTGTATTATCGAGAGTGATAGCAGGGTGGCAGTGGATTGGATTAAGAATGTTGATTTATGTCCAGAAGTGTATGCTTTTATTGTTAAAGACATAGTTGATAGGCTTAGAGCTTTTGAGGGTATTGTTAGATGGGTTGCTAGGACAGCTAACTTAGAGGCTGATGCCTTAGCTAAGGCTGGAATAGGCTGATTTCTGTGTTGTTGTTTACGGTTGTCCTATGGTTTTTAGTTCCTGTAAAGGGTATTTTGGTGTGTTGTATTTCTATTGTAAGTTTCTTTATGTTTAATGAAATCTTAAGGCACTTTTCCTCCTTCCGCTTATGAGCTCCTTTAATTAGGAAGGGGGTTTTTAACGAGGCCTTCAATTCTTATCAAAAAATTTGAACATGATACTTTCTATGATCTATTTGTAAAATAATGATTATGTTGAACACAGTGACTAGAGTTGGCATTGTACAAATAAATGAAACTAATAAAAATGCGTATTAATGAAAATTTGCATGAAGATGAAATTTACTACGTCTGCAATATCTATCAGATTAACACAGTTGCTTTTTTTTTATTAATGTAAGATAAGCACTTTAATGTGAACTTTGATTTTTTTTATCAAATAAATCCACTAATGTAAGTCTTTCAATCGAATTATTTTTCTTATTTTTGAATTGGATAAATCATATTATAAAAAATTGAAATGTCAATTTAACGATATGATAAAGAAAGAATAGTTTTTGTTAAGAAAACACCAATATTCATTTGTTTGTTTTTTAAATATTTTTATATATTAAACTAGGCCTTGACTGTGATTTACAGTTATCTGAAGTAACCAGTTAAATATTACGATATTGGCTATCAAACAGGTGCAGTTGCTGATACTCATGGACTGCCCAATGAAGAAGCAGACGAGCAATTTTTGAGAGAGATATTATATGAAGATGTATGCGACTACTTGTTCTCATTGAGCTCTAACGTTGCTCGCTTATCTCTAGTATTCCAATTCATTGATTTTTATGGTGGGAAAATCTCCTCTTGGTAAGTTTCACTTTCCTAACGATGTCTATTTGTGTCAAATCCATCTTATGCTGTCTTACTCTCTCACTATTCCTTGATTGACTATTCATCTTGTCTGTTTGTCTATTTTTTAACTTGCATGTGTACTCTTGCACTCAACATATAAAAAATTGATTCTCATGTATGAGGCTGAAAAATATGTGGATAAATGATGGTTTGTACCAAGTATTTACATGTTTCCGGGATTCTTTTTCATCCAAAGCACCTTCATCTGTTATGGAATAAATTTCTAAAACGTATATTACAGAATTAGGGTTTGCATAGGTTTACAGAATGTGTAATGGCATGTGTACTCTTTTGCATAGGTTGGAGATAATGTAATCTATTAACAGATAACCACTAGACTTATGAAAGAGTCCATGCCTAATGAATAGGCTAAACTATGTTGCTGTTGTTCTGTAATTGAAAACTTGCAATCCCTTGCAATTATTTAGTTCGTTTGTATGATTTCAATCTTGCCAATCCATTTAGGTGGCGTTTGGTTCGCTGGAATCCCTTGGAATTAGGGGGAATTAGAATCTAATTCCACTTTCCAATGTTTGGTTCAAGTTTTCAAAGGGAGAATTGGAATCCAATTCCATCAAGGGAGGGAAAGTAAATTCCATCCATAACATCATGGAATTGAAATCCTTTGGAGGAGGGAATATGAAAATTTGACCATACTACCCTCATCAATCTTTTGGTATTCGGATCAGATTTTTTTTTAAAATTTCGGAATCGGGTTGGATTTTTTTTAAAATTTCAGGTTCGGGTCGGGTTTTTTTAAGTGTGATATTCAGGTCGGGTTCGGGTTTAGGGTGAAAAATATCCAACCCGACCCGAAAAAAATATATAATTTTACCTTATATATTTAGGAATAATTACAACAATATCCCTCTATATATAATTTTTTTCAATTAAGTCACTATTTTTATTGAATAAAAATCATTTTTTTATTATTTCGGGTCGGGTTTCTAATTCATATATTCGGGTCGGGTCGGATCTCGGGTGGAGGTTCCCTTGTTCTCGGGTCGAGTCAGGTGGACCAAAAACCCGACCCATGGCCATCCCTAATTGGGATGATTTTAACTTATGATGTTTATTAGTATGATTTTTATAATTTATTGAAATGAATAATCAATCAATAAAATGAAAATTTAATATTTTTTAAATTTTTATAATATATTGTTACATGTAATTTTATAAAACAAACTAAAATTAAGCAAAAAAATAAGAAGGACAATTCTGTCATTTTACATTACTGAAATCAAATTCATCTGACATGTCTGCGAACCAAACAGAATATGGAATTGGATTTCAATTCAATTTCCTACCAACCAAACATGCTTCAGATTCAGATTCCAATTCCTTCACAGATTCTAATTCTCTCATAAACATTCCAGCGAACCAAACGCCACCTTAGAGTATTTGAGTGTATTGGATTTTAAATCATATTTAATCATGTAGCTCACTTTGACAACTTTCCAAACATGGATTGAGTTTGAACTTCTCTTGGAAGCTTTGATGTAGTTAAAATGTTTAAATGGCAAATAATTCAAATTTGTTGAAGGATATTTTACTTAGAAAGTAGATGAAATGGTTAGGCTAACATTTATGTGTAACAATTTCCCATCTGTTTTGGAGGTTATGGATGGTCATAGTCTTTCCTCGAGATGCTTTCCACATGGAAAAACCCAAATGGAAATTGCATCTTCCTATCCTTCAAAGTTAGCCTAAATTTTTGTATAAGAACTTGACTGTATCTTTACCCTTCTCATTTAAGCTTATCAGGGCACGATGCCCCCGAGTAGAGCTACATTGTTTGGACAAAACATAACAGTGACCTGGTTTTAGGTGTTTAAGGGGTAGGGCTGTATGAGAGTGTTAAAATCTAACACCATGATCTGTTCATTAATATGTTAATGGTTTCATGTTTCAATGAATGAGTCACTTACAACAACCTTTTCCTCCTCTTCTAGGGTTTGTACCAACAGTTCCAGTTGGACTGAGAAAATTCTTAGCCTGGAGGGTATACCAGATTGTATTTGGCAAAATATGAGAAGGTTGTTGGATGATTTAAATAAATTACAGAGTAAGCCTGGTGAATTCAGTTTGGAATTCCTTTTGGATAGTGCCAGAGGCATCCTTCAGAGGACTGAAATGATGAAATTTCTTCGTAATGCTGTGTTACTTTGCTTAACTGCTTTTCCCCGTAACTATATATTGGAAGAAGCCGCTCTTTTGGCGGAAGAGCTCTTAGTGACAAGAATGAACTCTTCTAGCTGTTCAGGTGCTCCGAGTCAATCTTTAGCAAAACGCCTTCTCAAATGTGATCGGCAGGTATCTTTTATTTGTTCTACTTGTCTAAAGGTGTACATATACATGCCTGATTGAATCCTATACTTGCTTGACAGATATTCTTGATTTATTAACATGAAATTCATGATTTATTTTCTGTTTCACTTGAGCCTAAGTAAATATTTTAGATTGTTTCCCTTATTGACAAGCTATTGTGATGTTCTCCATGAAGTGTCTGTCTGATTTTCTGAGTCATTAGGAAGAAATAGTACAATAGCTAATAGAAAGACAAGTTTCCATCTGAGTTCTTTCACTTTGTAACAGAAGACAAGTTCACTTAGGTTTTTTATAGTTATTTCTCAAGTTATTTCTTTTGTTTGAATATAACCTTTTTGCTAAATTTGTGTGATACTCGGTGGAATATTTGGTTTAACCCACCTATAAATATGCTAAATTGTATGGCTGCTACTTTATCAGTGATGTAAATTTTGTTTTTGTTTTTGTTAATATTCTTTTAAAGCTATTTCTGCTATTGATTGGGATGATTTTACTTATAATTATTCATGCATGATATCTCTTTCCGTGTCACATTCTCACCTTTTGGTTTCATTTGTTTATTGCTTTTTCTTGCTTCACAAGAAAAATAAAATATTGGTTAATAAAGGCAATAATATCTTTGAGTAATTTAAATTTAATGTTATAATTTTTTGGGGAACAGAATGCATGCTTCCCTTCAATTTTATGTAAAAGAGTTTTAGATTGATATCACATTTTATTATTTGTTCATTTTAATCAATAATGGTTTCCATTTTCTAATTGCTTTTGCTTTTAGTAATTTCCTAGGAAGCAAAAGCAAAGAGCAAAAATCAAGTGGCAGAAATAACATCAAATGATGTCTAAATAAGTATATGGGCATTTGATTAAGGCCAGCATAGTAAAATCAGTAGAAAGTAATGCTGGAATAAGTTTAGGACAGTCTGGTTTTAATCATTTGCAGTGTCCAATTTGCTAATCTTTCTAAAACTAAATGAAAATAAATGTAATTTTGTCTTTTCAACTTTCTCTGTTGCAGTATGAAGCTTTTTATTCTGTTTTGTGCTTAATTTGCTTTATTTTTTATTTATTTTATTTATTTTTTTGCTGTTATAGGATCTCTTGCTTTGTGGAATTTATGCACGTAGGGAGGCCTTTTATGGGAATATGGATAATGCCAGAAGAGTTTTTGACATGGCATTGCTGTCACTTGCTGGGTTTCCAATGGTAAGCTCTTAATGCTCTGATGACTATTGACCCAATAGATTGGATGTAGTAGCTGAAAACGAAACTTCAATTCTTTTTAATAAACAAGATATAACCGCATGATCGGGTGAGTGTTTAAGTGTTACATATATGATGTTGAGTTCACCACTTTAAAGAAATAATTGATTTGCCTTCTATCAAGTGTAGTAAGGACTGTTTCTCCTTTTACTAGATTGAATTGTTTTTACTTCTGTATTTAACTGCTTATATCAGGAGCAACTAAATATTTTAGCCTTTGTTTTGGCTGTCACAAATTCATTTATTAGCTCTGGAAATTTCTAATTCATCTTCTTTGTCCCTGATCTTCTATGCTAATTTGCTGTTCTAAACTGTTCTTGATGTGTTTATTTCTCTGACTTACTTTCCTCCCTGTTGTGCTTAAAGAAATGCTTGAAGTTTACAATACATCTGACTCTTTGATTTTCTTGAAGTACTTGCATCTGATGCATATTCGGACATGGGTATGGGATATAATCATCCAATGACCTTCTAAATATATGAAAAATACTCTATTTTTTAAAAAAGAGCATACTCCTCTCAGACACATTCTATCTAACATTCATGTGTAAGTTCAAGTATCAGATTTGACATCTGAACATTTTCACTCAATTTGTGTGCTTCAATGCAATTGTTCAATTATCTTTTAGTTTTTTCAGTGTAATGTATTAAAAGTCTTATTTACTTGAGCAGGATCTACAGTCTAATTCATCTCTTCTATATTTGTGGTACGCTGAAGCCGAGCTCGGAAACAATCGTGGGAGTAAATTGGATTCATCATCACGGGCAATGCATATTCTCTCCTGCCTAGGTAGTAGTATGGCGTACAGTCCATTTAAAAGTCATCCATCAAGCTTGCAATTACTGAAAGCACGGCAGGGGTTCAAAGAAAAATTAAACACATTAAGATCAAAGTGGATGCGTGGTTCTGTTGATGATCAGTCAGTTGCCCTAGTTTGTGCAGCGGCTTTGTTTGAAGAGTTGGCTGCTGGATGGTCTGCGGGTATTGAAATTATAGATCATGTTTTTACAATGGTACTTCCAGGTATTCATTACTTCTTTTCCTCATTTTTTAATCAGTATGGTTGAAAGCTCTAGAGCACTTCACTTTTCTTAGTAAATTAGCTGATTTAGCCATGTTATTGTGTTCTTTTTATGTATGCATATACATATAAAATTTTCCCCTTCATCTAACTTTTACATTTACAAGTAACATTAGAAGCTAATAGTAAACTAGTTCCATGCTTTTTGAAATTAAAGTAAATAGTCGCAGCTTAGGTTCTTCTCTTCCTTCTTGAAACTATATAAATATACAATCATATACATACATATATTATCTGCCAACTCTGTTTGCCAGATGATATATATGTATATTGGCATTTTCTATTGCTGTCGAGGACATGGTAGTTTTAATCAACCTTTCATGATTGATAGGACTTTATGTTTGCACTCGTCACTATGAATTCTTTGGAATAGCATTCGTATTGTTTTAGACTTCTTACAACAATGTCGCTTATCTGTGCCTTGTTCCCTATGGCTCTGGATGTGTTGTGTTAGTTTGCCAGCAGCTTTATGCTAGAGTTTGGAAGGAGATAAGAATAACAAAAGAGAAAAAGAGGAATGGGTGAGAAAAAGAGGGCAAATTTCATGCTGCTGACTAGATGGAAGTTTTTTGCGGCCTTTTTATACACCATTCTTAATCCACTCTTTTTATTTCTGAAGTTCAATCTGGAGAAAAAGGGTGAATTGCGAAACCCACTTTTGATTAAAATTGGTTGTCTTTTTTCTTTTCCCTAAACTGAATGCGCGAGTATCTTGACACATCAAAATTTGTTGATGGTTCTACATGGTTTGTTTAATAAAATAAGTTAAATTTTTCCTTGTATTCAATCATAGAGAAAGAATATTATCAGTGAGGCAGTTGGCCCAATTGTTGCAGCTGCAATTTGATTGATATTGCTACATGGTTTGTTTAATACTAAATTCTTGTGTTTTGCAGAAAGAAGAAGCCAAAGTCACCATCTAGAATATCTTTTCAACTATTATGTTGGGATGCTTCAGAGACATCATGAGCAATTTACTTTGTCCAAAGCTTGGGAATCTGTCACACACGGGCTGCAGATATATCCATCCAGCCCAGAACTCTTTAAAGCTTTAGTGGAGATCAGCTGTCTTTACACGACTCCTAATAAATTACGGTGGATGTTCGACAACCACTGTCACAAGTAAGATCATCTTCCTTGTGGCTTTGCAAAATGTATAGTGTTGTTGCGCTTTTAGTTTTGGCCAAGTTTTAGAATTTATTTATTTATTATTGTTTTTTAAAGTTATGATTTCCTTTACATTGGGCCTGTTTTAACTGGAGATTGGCTTTTTCTGAAAACAAAGTGCAATTAATGTATTGTTTTCCCCTTAAATTTGACAAGCTGCGCAATCAATGCAACATATATTATATTTAAATAGTAATTAAATATTTGTTAACTAGTGCTGCTGCCTACAGGAATCCTCTAACAGGACCTTAAAATTGAGGTGTATTTTCAGTATTTTATGTTATTTGAGATTGTCATTTATTCTTTAATGAATTAGCATTTTGCTTTTTGGGTTTTCAAGAAATTTCATGGGCTTGATTTTTTCCCGATTTTCTTTGAACCTATATTGATTGTTATTCTGTAAATATTCTCAGGAGACCATCAGTAGTAGTTTGGCTTTTTGCATTAATATTTGAGATAAGTCGGAATGGCTCGCCGCATAGGATCCATGGATTATTTGAGAGGGCACTAGCAAACGATAAATTTCATAGTTCAGTTGTACTTTGGCGATTGTATGTTGCGTACGAGATTAACGTTGTCCACAATCCATCTGCTGCAAGGCGAATATTTTTTCGTGCTATTCATGCTTGTCCTTGGTAAGTGACTTCTCCCTCTGAAACCCTTTTGAATCAAATTACAAGAACCAATTATAGTCGTAATCAGCCTATTAAATGGATACCATGTGAGAGATATAGAGCAAAGATTTAGGAACCAAAATCTCAAAAATGCAGTTAATCCGCTTTAGTGATTCTCAAATTTGTGAGCCTAAGCTATTTTTTTTTTTTTAATTTGGGGAAAATTGGTGGAAGATGTAGGGCTGTATTTGTTACTAGGTTCCACTCTATATCATTAAAATGCTAGAAAAAATGCTTTCTTTTTGGAAATAAATGAACAATGTCAGTGGATATGCATGAACATTTAATACGATACTTGCCGAGGAATATAGCATAGGTGAAAAAACAAATAGAAAGTATAGCTTGTTTTGCAACTTACTTCATGGATTACATTGTACATATAGATACAAATGTCACCTAAATGAAGAAAACACAGTTACATCAATTTACAGCTATACAAGAAATCTGATAGTGATTTGCCTAATCTTCTTATTTTCCTTTAATGTACCCTAGAGTATCTATATTTACAGCTAGGCCATTATTTCTTATTCCAACAATATGTATATATCAATTAAGAGGAAAAAGAAGTTCGGTATGAATCAGTCAAGTCGGAATGGTGGGAATAGAATCGTTCTTCTATTATTTTTCATATGATATACTTTGGATTGGCTTACATTTCATAATTGCTGAATGTTGTTCCATAATCGGTAGGTCAAAAACGCTTTGGCTGGATGGTTTTCTGAGATTGAACTCCATCTTAACGGCGAAGGAGCTGTCGGACCTTCAAGAAGTGATGAGAGAAAAGGGGTTGAATCTGAGGACTGATATTTATGAAATTCTTTTACAAGATGAGATTCTGTGATGATGTAACTGTAAAAGATATTATGTTGTAGATATAAAATCTTGTTGCTGGTGCAGTATGGATGGCAAATCCAAGTCACTTGGTTCCGAAGGTTGCCGAATTGTCGGATAGGTATGGCACCTTGCTGCCTGGGTTAAACTAGGAAAAATATTGCACGGCTAGCAAGTTTTTTTTTTATGAAATCTGGTTTGTGAATCGGTCCATACTTAAAATGCTTGCAAATTTTGACATTAGATCAGATGTGGCTTTGGCATTTTGGGTGGTAGATTCTCAGCTATGGAATCTCCCACCATTTTAGCTTCTTCAAAGTCCTAAATCTTTGGTGCCTTTTTTGTCCTTATATTTTAGGAGAAAACCAAGTGTGTTCCGTTGGTCCGATTTCATTTCTATCAAAACTTAACTCATAAATCATTGGAACCTATTTTCAAAAGAAAAAATATTGCACGGCTAGCAAGTTTTAATTTTTTATTTCGATTTCGAGTGGAGATTTATAATGTTAAACTCGTGAGTTTTCAATTGAGTTGATTTCGGTTTACAATTTTCAAGTTGAGTTGAGTTCAACGTTGCCCAAGTTCGTTTGACTTATTACAACCTTAATGTGCACATTTTGACGATGCTTAAATAAAATTGATTCTAGTGATATTGTAGGTCGTCTAGAGAAATTAATTTAAGATTTTATGTTTGATCCCATGTGGTTGAAATTGGGTGGAGATTCGAATGAATTTCTTTTTTAAATAATTTAGTGATTATAAGATAATATATATTCAGAATTTTTTTAATCGTTGACAACCTACATAGTATTACATTATCTTTGTTAACTTCTAACATTGACATGTTAGGTAAAAATTTTAAAAAGAACATTATGATAATTAAAATTAAGTCCTCTCCACATCATAATTCTTCCACAAGATTTTTATTAGCGGGATTTTTTTATTTCGATGTTTTGAAACTTTTTTGGTGAAGATCTTCAATGATTTATTATAATATAATAAGTTTAAACTCACATTGATATACTCAATTGGAATAATGTGAGATGAATCTGAACGATATCTTTTCAACATTGACACATAAAAAGTATTTTGAATATCTTCATCTTCGACGGTGGTTAAGATTAAAAAAATTATTAGATGGATCCGACTCACCACGTCATCTATAATCTCATCTAATAAGATCTATCCATCTCAGTAACTTCCATATAATTATCTACTTATTTACATATAAGAAAATGTGAAATTCACCTTAAAAAAATAAGATTAATGGATTTTATTATCTGTGATCATGGATGACGTAGTGAGCCGAGTTCATATAATAATTTTTCATAAAGGCATTGGCAAGTAAAACACGTGTAAGTTCTCAAGCAATTTGGAGATCGAACGGCCAGGAACACGCTAAACATCTAGAATCATTGAATTTCAGCAAGCGGTTCCCTACACCGTTAAGCCAAGCACAAACGGTACAGGGAAAAATAAATATTAAATAGTCACACCAAATTACCAACAAAGAGAGAAAAATCGATACTAAAGAAAGCTCAAAGAAATCGAAAAATGGCGTTGCAGTGGATGATTCTAACCTACGTGGTCGCAGCAGAGGCCGCGCTGGCTCTTCTCTTGACCTTTCCCTATCCCAAGCTATTGAAGAACCGTTTGGTCTCTCTCATCTCTCTGATTCTTCAGCCTTCCCTCTTTATTGTCCCCTTTGCCGGATTCCAGCTCTTAGGTTTTCTCTCTTTTCTTTTTCTTTACTTTCTTAATCTTAAATGAAATGGGTTTCAAGGTTTTTTTTCATTTTCTTTGTGCAGATATCTACTGGAAGAACGAGCATCGCTTGAGTTGTACCTCTGAGATTTGCACTGCTTCCGAGAGAGATCGTTATGAGAAATCTGTAAGTATTATAATTTGTGAATTTTTTTTGATGATATATCTCCGACTTTAGGGAGATAGGCTGGATTTTATTTCAGGTGTGAATTTAAGAAGTTGTATTATAAATTAGTGAAATTATCAAATTTTAGGAGTATGAAATTAAATCATTAATAGAAAATACAAGAAAATATCTAAATTATATGAAAATTTGAACCTTTTAGAGGTGTGCCGCACCTAGCACCCTCTCGGTCCATCCCTGGCTGACTTTGCATATTGCTTCACTGATTTTTGAATTTTAGACTCCGTAATAATTCTAAGTATTTGACGTGGTTATAACTCCTACATGATTGATGCTGAAATCTGTTTATATTATTGCCAGTATCTGTAGGTGACTATTTTCAGATCTTAGTTTTTCTTTCTTCTTTCTAGGAAAGATGTTTCTACCGTGTTTTGGTTATTTTGTTCATTATCTTGGGCTTAGTCCACTCGGTCATATGTGAAGGGTTTTCTTATCTTTATTTAAGTCACCTATATCTTAGCACAATAAACAGTCAGGAGGATCTCTATATATATGATTTGTCTATATTTCCTTTTACTTTAGCATGAAGAAGGAATGGATTAGCAGCTTGGGAAAATACTGCAATTTATATATTTTATGCTAAAGGTCTTTGGATTCTTTTTAGCTGGTTGAAATAATGGGATGATTAAACACAGATCTCTATATTCTACTTAGGGTGATGACTTACTTGTAGATTTTGATATCTTCTCCTTATTTTAGGGGATTAATTATAGTTATCCTTCCTTGCAAATAACATAATCTCTTGGGTTTCCAGACAATAAATACACCAAGTTGTCTATAGCTTAGGGGCATGCTGAAATTGTATTGAGGAAGTTGTCTGTCCATACAAATTGCTTATTGGAGAAATAGAGCTCAACAATTATTGGCATCAAAGCCATTGGATCATCATGGTTAAAGACCGTCCAATTTCCAAAATGATCCAACCAACCCAAATTCTAATCCACCAGCCAATTCAAATTTTGATTCCATTGCTAGCAGCTAACCTCCATCACTTCCTCCAAAATGAAGGCTGTAGACTTGTTAGCAGCAAAAGTAGCAACACTCAAGTCCAAAGCCAATGACCCCCCCAAAACGGAAACCAGTGTCGGAGTATCCAGAAACAGAAAGGTCAAAGAAATTTTGGATTTCGTGAGAAAGTAAGATCAACATGGTCACAGAAGAAGATGAAAGTGACATGGAGAATCCTTGATGGCTTATGAGTCTTTCACACACCCTCATACGAAGATAGAATTTCCCAATTGTGAAGATGGTGATCCTCTAGATGGATCCGGAAACTGGAAAAATATTCACATTATAATCAAAACTTTGAACAAACTCAAAGTTGACAATGCCTCTATGCATCTTAAAAGTGATTCCCTCAACTAATTTTCCTGGATCAACTGGGAGAAAACTTTACTTCATTGAGAGGATTTTGTCCAAGCATTGGAGGAACACTATGGTCCATGGGAGTTCCAAGGTCCTAATGGCTGATGTTTGTGAGTCACAAGTTGGCCAGATTAGCCTAGGTGTGTTTCTGAATGACTTAAAAGAGGAGCTAATGACTTAAGTCACAGGTTGGCCAGATTAGTCTACAAAGCCATGAGTTTAGCCCTTCAGTTTGAATCCAAGCTAAGCCCAAACCTCAAGAATAAAAGATCAAACATTCAGCCGAACCTTCCCATGCAATTGTCTTGCCTTAATCATCACATGACTTCTACTCATTCTCCATTTGCGGTGCAGATTTGGTCTTAGGGATTAAGCGGTTGGCATATCTGAACATATTTCAGACAAATTGGAGTGAGATGTTAATGATTTTTCATCTCGATGGCTAGCTATATAAGCTACAGGGAGCTCAAACCAACCAATCAGATGATGCCTCTTTCCAAACGTTAGACAAAATTACCTAGCCGAGGACAATAGCTAACATGTTTGATCCCTCATCTCCCATGCAATCTCTTATCAAGAGTTTGTACTAGTTCTCATCGAACCCACATCCTTACCTCCCATCCATACTCCTGTATCGTTATCCTCACCATCAAAAATAAAAATAGAAACCAAGTATGTTGCTTTGTTAGCGTTGGGGTTTATTTGCCCTACCTCAAGATTGTTTGTTAGCTTTATCCTATTGATTAAAAGAAAGATAACTCTTGGGCATTTGTGTGCCAACTACAGGATCCTAAACATACCTGACAGCTCAGTTCCCAATATTGATTAGCTTGCTGATGAGTTACATGGGGCAACAAAATTTTCCAAAACTACTAGACGTAGGGGCATCCTGATATTACTGGTTTATTTGTAATGTGGGAGTTGCACGCTCCATACTGACTGCTTATTGGAGAAAGTGTTTAAGATTCTTGCATTATCTTCTTCAATAAATTATTTCTCTTTTCTGACTCTTTGCTGGATCTCATATTTACTCATCCAGCCCCTATCTTTTGGATTATATTTTAGCCAACTCCAGGAGACCAGAAAGCTAAAACCAAAGACAAGACATCTAGAGCATATCATACACAAATTGGAGTCCAGCTTTGGTTTTTCACCATGTAATGGGGTAGATGGGTCACATGTTACTACTCAAAGTAATGGGGGATTTATATAATTTAGCATTCCTCATCCCATAGATCCGGGGGATGCACAAAAGCATATTGTCTTTTTGTAGTGGCGTATCTCTCTGCTTTGCTATCTTTATTCTCTTATTGGTTTTGGTTTCTGACCTTTTTAGGGATGGGAAAATAACAGCTTGTTCGCAGCTTTAAATTTCAAAAATGGGGTGAATAGTAGTGCGCAATCACAAGGCTCAAAGACTAATATTTGCATTGACAAGGTTTAAAACCGTATGGTTAATGATGTTGAGTTTAGCAATTCCAGAAGTCTTTGGAGCAAGGATCCTTGCTTTTTTAAAACAATTCCTGTGTTTTGGGCTTTAGTGCATTTTATAGTCAGCTTATATAGAGCTTGTTTATGATTAATTAAATTATTTGGTCATTCTATTTCTTTTTATAAAGCGTTCCATTACACTAACATATGAAGAAGTAACACAGTTCTCTGGTTCTCTGAAATGTTCCCAAAATTCTTGTGAGCAACTTGATTTGGAAATAATACGAGTTTGTGATGCTATGTAGGTGTACAAAGCCCAAAGGAATGTGATTCTGTGTATAACTGCATGCTTCCTGTACTGGTATGTGCTGGTTGCTTGAGAAAGATAATTTAGGACTTGAAATATTGAAATAATTTGGGATGTTATGATGTATGTACAGGTGTATCTACAGGATTTGCAAGTATCACAAGGAAATAGAGCGTTTGGAGGAAGTAGAGAAGAGATACAAGAATGAATGAAGTTTAAAAACGCATGTACTTGGAGACTATGTTCTGTTATAAGCCTATATATTTGATATTGTTTGTGTTTTGAATACGCTTGTATGGAAGCTAGAACCCTATTTGGCGCTCTTTTGTTTGCTCATTTCAGCCGGTTTACTTGAGTTTTTATGCTTGTGTTGGTAGTGTTTGATAGGTGTCATTATATTGCCAAATGCCCTTCCTTCACTTTGTGTTTGGCCACACTATGCCTTGCTCAGATGCCTTCTCTTACTTCATCCTGTATTGATTCAAATTTAAATAACAATACTCGAAAGCAGTTGTCTAACTTGTTGGTTGTTATTACAAATTTTTCATTATCATCGGAACTTTCTGATCGATTGATTTGGAAAGGAACTGGGGATGGGAACTTTCTGATCGATTGATTTGGAAAGGAACTGGGGATGGGATTTTTACTGTTAGATCAGCTGTTAATCTATGTTCATCGGAGACCTTGGGATCGGAGGAGGTCTTTTACTGGAAGAAGTTTATTTGGAGAGGTTTATTGTCCCCAAGAGTAGAGTGTTTTCTTTGACAGATTGTTCATGGGAAGCTGGCTGTTAGGACAGAACTTGTCAAAAGAGGAGTTCAAGGAATAAAAGACGTGTTGTGTCCCCTATGCAAGATGTCGGAAGAGTCTTTCTCTCATTTGTTTTTCTCTTGTTCGGTGGTGTGGTCTCTTTGGAATAAGTTTTTAAATTTATGGAGGATTTGTTCTGTTTTACCAGCGGATGCTAAAAGCTTTTTTTTAGTTTGGGATGGTTTGAAGTCTAACTCTACGATATGGCCTTTTATTCCAAAGGTCGTTCTTTGGACCACTTGGAAAATAAGGGATTTTGTTGTGTTTGAAGGGGGAAAGTTTGACAAGGCAAAATACTTCTTTTTAGTAAGGTTTAGGCTTGTTTCTTGGTTCTTAGCAAAGCATAAAGAAGTGACTATTTCTAAGGATTCATTTCAGACCCTTTTTTAGAGGACTCTGTTTATCTCCACTCTAATCAGTTTGCAACTATTTTACCTTGGTCTCCTCCTCCTATGGGTTTTGTGAAGTTAAATGTTGATGATGCCATTACAAGGGATTGGAAGAAAAGCGGGTTATGAGGAGTTTTAAAAGATTCATCAGGTTCTACTTTAGGCTTTTTCAAGGAACCTACTGGTCCGGGGCCTCCTACTTTGATGGAATTAAAGGCTATTCTTAAAGGGTTGTCTTTCTATGCAAATTTTTGAGAGAAGATCAAGGACCGTTTGATTATTGAGAGTGATAGTAAAGCGGTTGTGGATTGGATTAAGGGGTTGAATTATGTCATGTTGTGTATGTCTTCTTGATTAAAGATATTGTTCATAGGCTTAATGCCTTTCAAGGTGTTGTTAGATGGGTTAATAGGATAGCCAATTTAGAGGCTGATTCCTTAGTTAAAGAAGGCATATGCTGAGTTAGTGTTGGTGATTATGGTTGTTTAGGTTTGTTTCTTCGTTTCCCGTGTTTTGTAAGGGGATTACTATTGTTGTTTCATTGTAATTTATTATGATGAATAATATATTTAGGCACTTTTCTCCTTCCGCTGATTAAGGAGCTTTCCTACAAAATTCATTAATCCAGAATGGGATTTTTAACAAGGCTTAGCATTCTTATAAAAAAAATTAGTTACCTTTAAATTTGAAGGTAAATTATCACTTAATTGTATCGTTTATAAAATTAAACATTTAGCTTATTTAATTATACTGCTAGATTTTAATTTTAACAATACTACTTGGGCTGGTAAAATTGGCCCAGTAAGATATATGAGTTTTTTTATTTATCCTATTAGGGCAAGTCAAAATTTATTTTGAGATCTATGGTCTTTTCTATAGTCACATAGAACTCGTCATGTCGAGGTAACAAGTTTTAATAAAAATATTTTTTTATTTTAACTTTTTATCTCGATGTGATAAATTTTAATATTTTTTTTTGGAGTTCATCATTTTAGTGTGACGAGTTTTAATAATAGTGTAGAAAATATCGTAAATTTCAAAATAAATTTTGATTTACTTTAATGAATTAAATAAAAAATTCGTTATTTTTATTGGGTTAAATCAACGATTGGGCTTCGGTCTTCAAATTTTAATCACTTGTGATATGTACGTCACTGTGATGATTAGAATGATAAAATGACGTTTTAATGTGATTGACTGATATTTTATATTTTTCTTAGAATTAATTTTGTTCTCAAGAGTTAAAGGATACTTTTTTTAGATTTTCATTGATTTTGAATGAATTTTACGAGAAAATTAATTTTATAAAAGAAAGATCGATAAAATATGATCACTTTAAGATCGATCTTCTAGTAAAAGATAATTAATGATAGATGGTGATTAATTGTTAACGGTAACTGAAAGAAAAATATAATATTAGAAAGGAAACTGATTAAATTTTTAGTGATAATCCAGTTAAATGTTTAAAACAACATTATTTTAAACATAAATAATTAAGTAAAAATTACGTTGTTTTATTTATGTTATCATATTATTTACATTTTAATGATATGATATAAATAATTAAGCAATTTGGTATCATTTAAGTAAGGTTTTGAGTTCAACTATTTATGTACGTAAAAAAAATTTGTTGGAAGATTTACTCATCAAAATTAAGTGTATGACGTGAATCCGTCCGAATTAATTAAAGCGTAACCTTGAAACTAAGATGAAAACAAAAATAAAAAATTAAAATTCTAATGTTAAAAATAATATACTACTTAAAACTTAATAATATCTAATATGATTTATCTTCAAATTTAAAATAAGCAAGTAACTGACAGTTACAGGTGTAGTTAGGGATGGGTATGGGTCGGGTTTCGGTCAACCTGACCCGACCTGAAAATTTAACATTCTTCACTCGATTCTAATCCGGCTTAAATTTTTGAGATAAAATTCGAATTCGATCTGACCCAATCCGAAATAATAATAAAATATTATTTTTATTCAATAAAAATAATAATTTAATTTAAAAAAAATAATATATATTGAGGTATTATTATAATTATTCATAAAAATTATTTTTTTCGACTCAAATATTTTTTCCTAAACTCGATTTCAACTCTACTTAAATATCACCTTTTAAAAATCTGACTGGACCCTAACGTATTCTTTTTTTTTAAATCTGACGGGTGAAGTTTAGATCAAAACACAATCGAGTTCGGATTCCATGCCTAGTGGGCTCCCTTCTTGTATGTTCCCGACTGTTCTGCTAAAAATGAGCTTAAAATTTAAAATAAATAAATGATTTGTAAAGAAAATGCAGAGCCACAGATTGAGTAGTCGGCAAAAAGGAGACACGTCAACTCTGAGAATCAATTACGTAGCCACCTTTGAATCCTCCCCCAACCATCAAAATTCAAAAATATCAAATATCTTCTGTACTGGAATTACCAAAACGACCCTTATCATTCCTATTAATAAAAAAATCGATAAATCCGGAACAAATACAAGATAATATATGTTAAAAGATTTTCAATCATTTAAAAATAAACACTCGTATCCTTTATATATACGATGCTCGAATCCGAGACATCAAGAGATAAAAATAAGATTAAATAAGAAAGAAATTAATAATAATAAAAAGAGATTAATAAAAATAAAAGAGTAAACTATATAAATGGTCCTTAAACTATACTGAAATGCTTTTCTATCCAATAGACTCTTGAGAGTTACAAAAGTTAATGGATTCCGGACAAAAGGCATTGGGCTGCAGTTGAAGTGATTTAGAACCCAAGTGTTGAACATATATGTATGAAATGTATATAAAAGACACTTTGATCTTTGAGCATACATCCATCCACTATGATTAGGGACGACAATCTAATCTGACATCAGTGAATTTTAATTTGATTTAACATGACATGGTCGATCTAATTTTTAAAAAGTTTCTAGTTCGAGTCAGATTTTGTATAAGATGAGGTCACGTCGGGTTCAAATGAAGGGTAAAAAACTTTCTATCCGACTTGAGGGTAATAGTATAATTTATTCATATAAATTTATGGATAATTGTTAAAATACATATTTTCTATATTTTTTTAATTAAGTCTTTATTTTATGTCGATCGGGTCAGATTAGATTTATACTCCAAAAATTAGGGTTGAATCACGTTCATGTAGAGATAATATACCCTTCGAATCGGGTTGAGTCAGGTGAAAGATAACTATTTTTCAAGTTGAATCAAATTCGAGTAATATATATATATATATATATATATATATATATATATATATATATATAGATATTTAAGTCAGATCATATCGACTAAAATTCCGACGTGTTGTCATCTCTAAATATGATAAAACAATGTATGAAATGAAGCACATAATTAAAATCAGGTATGGTGTGAATGGAATATAATTTTCTAACCTAGTTTTTCTATTTTCTTATTGATTGCGTCGTTTGTCTTCTTCTTTATCTTAATTGATCGGCAACGACATCAATATTGATATTGGTTATCATTCGTAATATTTATTATTATATTTTTTATATTTTGTCTTATTCTTTATCTTAATTGATCGATGACGACATCAATATTGATATTAGTTATCATTCGTAATATTTATTATTATTTTTTATATTGTACATTTGATTTTTTTTTAATTTTAATAATTATGTCTTTATAGTATGTTTTCTTTTACTTTATGACACATTTTTGTATATTTTTGACATGTTTCAGTCTTTTTATCAGTTGTTTGATTGATCTTACCATTAATTTTTTTAGGGTTATATTTGACATCGTCTCAACTAATCAAAAGATGACGCTTATGGTTATCCTGTTGATCTACCCTGCTTTGGACCTTCGAATGAATTTGGACATGTAGTTTGCGTTTTAAGATAGTTTTCTCACGACGTTCGATTCTAATTCCTGATTGTCGGTGGTCTTTTAATAGCATGATCTCTTATTATAGTTCGTTATCGATGCAATCATATATATTCACATCTTTATTATGTTCGAGTTTTTTGAATGTATTTTTAACAATTTGCTTGTATGATCCTTATAAGATCATAATTGACTAGTTTCATGTTAATGATTATAGAAAATGTTATAATTATGTATTTAGTTTACACTTATGATTGTAAATTGTCATTATAATT